TTCATAACCTCAAAAGAATACTCTCATAGGTGCTTTCTGAGAGCTCATTAAAGAACTTTTGTGATTTGGTGGTGCTTTACATGTTGCCACAACAGTGTTGGACTTTGGTTACGAACATTCACAGTACTGTACTAGCCTTAGTGAGGAATCATATCTCTTGTAATCCTGTTCCTTCTCAATGACTGCTTACTAAAGATGATGGATGTTCTTCCCATCTGACCAGATATTAGAAGTTCTCATGTAAGATATAAGTAGCTAAAATTGGTCAGAAGTGAAACCTTGAAGATGCCTAGTATATGAATTGAAGACTCCCTTGAAGAATGTTAGTTTTTTATTAATCAAAAGCATTACTTTTATAAGCATTACTTTTATTAGGATCTTTTATTCTTTAAGTCTTTTAATCAACAAATTTAATTCTTATGCTGGATAGAAAAAAACAAATCAACTCTTATGAAATATTAAGATTAGTTATAAAATAATTATAACGAATTATAATTTTATGATAAAATAATTATAACTAATCACAATTATTTGGAAGATAAATAAACCACCCTTAATTCATCACTCCTGTTTGCAGGGGGAGTTTTGTTAGTTTCATAGAGTGAGACTTAATTTTGATATAGGGTGCTGCTTCTGTCATATTTTTCTTTTAATACAGAGAAATGTATTTTTGTCACTGCTTTCTATGTTGGCATCAAGAGCAAAAGTACATTTCCCCCCCTCTCTTTGGCTTTTATGTTAGAATTCCAAAAAATGTAAAAAGAGAGAAATTAAAATTAAAATAAATTAAAGCCACAGCAAATGTCAGTTTTCACATTGATTTGTTTTAGTTGGGCATAACTTCAAGCAGCATCAGCTTCAGAATAGATGGAGAATTTCCTGCTTCTTCTTTGTACTCTCTGTAATTCACACTAATGGGTCTTTCTGTGCCTGCACAGAATCCTTGGAGTCTTCCAGAGCCTAAAAAGTCATTTGGCCCACCCTCACACATTGCTTACATTCATTCATCTAACAGCTATCCCTTAGTTCCATTTTGTCCTCAAGAGTCTACCCTTTATTCTTTATTGTTTTCTTCCTACAGTTAGAACATCTGTCTATCTCTCTGTCTGTTTATCTCTCTCTCTCTCTCTCTCTCTCTCTCTCTCTCTCTCTCTCTCTCTCTCACACACACACACACAGTCATTTGGCCCACCCTCACACATTGCTTACATTCATATTTAGTTGGCCTTTCTGTTCCCACCTTTTATGACTTCAGCAGGCCCATTTAAGAAGTGTGTCACTTGTAAAAATAAAGTCCTTCTAAGCACCTCTGTTGTTTAGGAAAGGAACACCAGACACAGAATTGTGAAATCTGCAAAAAATTCACCAGATTGGCCATTAAAAACAGGCAATCAAGACGAATACTACCTCTGGAAAAAGTCGCTACGGGCCATCAATACCATCTTGAAACAGAGATAGACTTTGACCTTGACCATTTCCCTCTGTAAATGTCATCTAAGACAGAGGTCGTCACCCCCTGGTCTGCGGCCCGGTGCCAGTCCGTGGCCTGAGCTGGACCAGGTCGCGAAGACAGACCTCCCCCCCACACTCCCCTCCCCACAGCTGTTTTGCGCATGCGCACGCGTGCCAGCGCTGGCGTGAGCACTCCCCCACCCCTTCATGCATGCGCCTGAGTGCCCACGCAAAGGGGTGGGCGTACCCGTAGACATGCAGGAGCTCTTGTGCATGGCAAAGGGGTGGGGAAACACTCACACCGGCACTGGTGGGTGCGTGCGTGCTCCCCCACTGTTTCGCGCATACGCCTGAGAGCATGTGTGCACCCGCAGGGGGTGCCCCTCCACTCTCAGCCGGTCTGCAGTCCCAAAAAGTTTGCGGATCGCTGAAAGAGAATTTTTATGGAGGCCTTATGAACCAGAGTGACCCCAGCTAACCCAGAGAATGAATCAGTTCCATAGGCTTCAGAACCGTCTCAATAGTCATGGTTGAAAGAGAAATCATCAACATCAAAACTGATGGCGTCATCAGAAAAAGAAAACTCCTCTCACAGATTAATCAATTGAAGAAAACAAAAGGCAAAGAGAAAACCAAAGAAAACTACAACACCAGAAGACACAGTTTCTAAGAGTAAAGGACAGGAAGACCTAGTTTGTCTAGGCTTGGTTTCAGAGGAAGATGAGTTTCAACAACAATTTTCCCACAGTTTGTCACCAGTGCTAAGTTGTTTTTGAATACGGAGTCATCTAACACAATTGTCAGATGATGAAGTTCCCATGTTAGGAGCAAGAGAAGACACGAATTTCTAGAGGCAGATGGTTTCTGTCTAGACATGTGAAGGCACACCATTCTCAACAGCCAACGATTAGGTGCCAGTCTGAAACTTTTAGTTCAGAATCGTCACCACCCTTGACATCTTTCAAGATTACCATGGGGTCAGAGAGGCCGACACTAACCACTCAAACACACTATACTGATTACCCTGGTGTGGGCTAATGGCCAGATGGCCAAATTTGCTGATGACTGGGTGAATATCTTCCTGACCAGTACACTCCCAACACCTTTGTCCATCCTTACTAAGCAGTTATTCCAGGAAGTTATCAATATCCACAAGGTTAAGGGCTTTGACGTTTACCCACCCTGTGATGTAGGAATACCCAAAATATCCAGAAAACGCACATGCTCCCAGTAAATGGTTGAGGCAGGCCTGGTTTTAGTACCACCAATTCTCTTACTCCAAAATGATGCAAATATTTTTGAGAAACTAATGTTTTATTAGAGGTGAAGAAAGTCAAAAGAACAATACTTCATAAACAGTTTCAACAATTACAGAATAGTCAAAGAGCTGTGGAGCACAATTAAGCAATCAGAAAGTTTGGGACAGGAAGAAGTACAGAACTATCCCATAGGAAAGCTTGATTCTGACAGTTGATATCTAAATCTCCAAATGAAAAGAAAAACCCATTAGGATTTCCTGGTTTCTACAACAGGCAAGAGAAAATCCTCCTTCAGAAATTACTTTGCTATTCATTCCAACAATGATTGCAAGAGTAGGAAATGATCAGTGTTGTTCCTGCTATCTTTAACAGAAGACAAGATGATAACATAAAGAAGGCATATTGCCATTTGCAAAGCCACCCTTGCCTTCATAGAGTATTGGGCTGGGTGTCAATTGACTGGTCTACATAATGAAGAATGAATAAAAACCCACCTTTGTGCGACCTTATGTTCAATCCTTAAATATTTTGACCAATGGTTTTCAGACCCTGTCCTCATTGAGAAAATCAAAATTGCTTACTTCAAAACTTTTCCTCAGAATTCTTGTGAGCACTATAGGTAATACAAAGCGCTCATACATTACACATCTCGTGTTCTGAAATGCTCCCAACATTTGTTTCCAGGGACAGAAAAGTAAGTGAGGCTTAGGTGAAACCAATCACCTGTATCCTAGTACTAGTGACTAGCTTTATGGTTATTACTTTGTAGACACTATAGCGGATTTATAGGGATTACATTGATCATCTATCCCCGTTGAATTGACTTCAAAAGTATTGACATATCTCTATTATATGTGTATGTTTGGCAGATTATATCACTTTTAATGTACAATTGCCAGGGATGAACAATATTATTTTATTTATTAATTTTAAATATTTTCACCCTGCCTTTCTCCTAGGGGCCCAAGGCAGCTTGCACATTAAAAATTCAATACTGTATTTAAAAGCTAAAAAGAGTAAGTATACAAATATTTAAATAGAATTAAACAAATATATTAAACATTAAATGAGTACTGAAAACACTTTGAAAAGCAACAAGGCACAAATATTCAGTTTATTTAATATCTTATATCTCTGCTTATATCTCTGGTGACTGGATGGAAATAGATTTTCTTTTCATTCCCTTTGGTGTCTTGTCTAGGTTTCAGTCTTCTGGGGTGATGTGGTGGTAAATTTGTAAGTGCAGGTGTTCATCATGACAGATCTTTCCACCCTGCAATAATGAAAAATCAAAAATGTGGGTAGCGGGATCAGTTCATATCAGTAAATCAGGAGTACATATTTCGTAAAGTTTATGGCTCTTAATTGCCCATTTGAGACCAGACTACCCTCAAATACTTTGCAAAACAGTAGGGGCAGCTTGTAACAACATACTGTTTCTGGAAGAGTCTAATTAATCCCCAGCTACATCTAAGTTCAGAGAACAGGCAAGGCTAAGGAGGTTGGTGAATGATGTCACAGTCCCTGCTACCAAAAAAGTACTGGGGCCTCTACGTTATGAACCCTGGCTGTAATACATAATTGGTCTTCTATTCAAGGTAAACAGCTAATTTGCAAGATCTACTGTCTTCTAGACCACATCTTGTTTTTTTCTTGAACCACATAATCCCAGCCCAGTTACTCTTCTAATTAATGACTTGAGGTTCTCTTGAAGGTTCATTTTGCTGATTTTGTACATTGATTTTCTATCAGTGTCTCTTAGTATTTATAAAAGCAGGAGGGGTCTAAATACGGCATCTTTTTCAGTTACCAAAGAAGCTGCATGAGGCAGTTGTTTCACTCTTAGGTATTTCTCCAAATATCATTATGCGGTGGCCATACAGAAAGTTTTTTGTGTATGAACAATTATATTTACCAGTACTGTGGGTCAAAAAAGAGCCAATAAAGAATGAATGGCTGTGCAACTGAGCATGATTCATTTGCTGTGTTGAAAATATAAACATGGGTAGGTAAAACATCTTAACACAAAATAGGTTTTTATTTCTTCTCTTTACTTACATTTTTATTGAGGCTGGCATTGTCCTCAGCTCTTGCAGCTTTATTTTAATCTTGGATTCAACTGTAGAATGTGCTGTTAAGGTAATGTAGGTCTCAATGCATACTGTAGATGCAACACATGCATTTTAAGCTACTTGTATTTATCTTTTGTTTCTGGGATACTAAGAGAGCAGAGAACGCAACCTACCCTTTAAAATGGCTTCATATTTCTACTGCATTTTTCTTTTGTAGTTGTTTCTTCTAATTTGCTAAACTCTCTTAACTTCTGACTGGAGAATGAATGGCGAAATGACTTCTTCAGAGGCAACAGACAACACTTTCCCCTGCCTTTAGAGACTGCCATGAAGGATGCATTCCATAACATGAATGCAAAGAGGAGCACAACCCTCCATCCTTACAGGTGTGTGTGTGTATCAAACTTTGTTTAAGTTTGAGAACAAACACTGGCTTTATGTTGGTAAAGCAAACTTACAGTGTTATTTTTTTAACTTGAAATTTAATGATAGCTTTCTAAAAACAAATAAAACAGAACAAAACAAAACAAAAAAGCAGGAGGAGTCCATTAATACTGAGACTCTTGTTCCAACAGTATGGTAAAAAAGATTTGAAGGTACTTGAATTCATAAAATCATGCATGTAGAACCGGTGTTAAACATAACAGTCTCCTGCAGCAACAGTAGTTGTCTTGATGGCATTTGGCAGAGACATGCAAAATTAGTATTGACAGTGTCTTCTTCATGTGCTGTACTAGTGCCACTGATGCTGATAAGGAGAATGTTTTTTCATGAGCAAGAATCCTGCTGTTCTGTGACATAAGTAAAATACATGTGTTATTCATCCTTGTGGGCTCTTCCCTGTGGTAATTTAAGAGATCATAAATCAAAAACCACCAATATCCTGTTCCTTAGTTGTGATGGTTTGTTGATGACATCAAACCAAGCAATGGAAATGTTGGCAAAAGAGAATAATGGCAAGAAAAATCAGAATATTCAACACATAGACGCTCTGTTATTGGGCAACTACAGCATTGCAGGCGGTGAGTGGCTATTGATAGCTCTTGACTTTGGAAGCATGAGGAGTGCTCTCAGTTGACCCTTCCTTCCCTGCCATTGTATCAAGGGGGGGGGACGACAACAGCTTCCATTTACCCAATTGGAAAATACATATGTTTTTTCTGGTAATGGCTGCCCCATCAGTGGCCATGATGTGTAAGCACGGCTGTAGGTGAATTGACTTTCCAATCTCAAAAACGAATGAGGAAAAACTTATGGGTTGCCATCTTCTCCCATGTAAACTCCACTGAATAAAGGCATTTGTATACACTGAAGCTCTGTATAATTTCTTATTCAGAGCTCCATTGGCAAACAAGATGATAAGAATGCATAGAGGAAGAAGGGATGGGAGAATTCCTAGTTAGCAATAAACCATTTTCATCTGAAGTTGCCTTTTATTGATGTAGAATTTTCAGAGTTTTTTTGTGGAGCATATTGTGTTTTAGCACACTTGGATACATGTTCTGAAGGGAAGAATTGCTTTCTGACATAACTTTACAGTTCTGACTACTTTTGAGAAAGACCCCAAGAAACTCTTCTGGTAAGGAAAATTGCAAAGAGTTGTAGAAACTGAGTTACAATGCCTGTGCTAGGAATTTTAGTTCTGTGAGTCTACAATAAAATACTGACGGTATATTTAGTGACAAAGTAAAATTGTGGTTTGGAGTCCAGCTCAGTATGTGAAATGATTTGCCTATGGTGAGGAGGTAATTGATAGGGGAGATTACAATTTTCTCTTTGCATGAAGGTATATGGCCTCCATTCACTAAAGTTTCTACTTGCACAAGGCAAAATTATTATATCTAAATAACTGGTTGTAAAAAATGTAAATTGGTGGAGTTTCCTAAAGGCTTTCCATCCAAGCATATTCCACATCTTGGCTTTTGAAGTTCCTTTTTTCCAAAGGAAACACTAGTTCTGAGTTTCTCAGCTGTCCTTGTTCAGTTATTTCTCTTCATTGCAAAGGCAATATTTGAGAACAAAGGTGTTCGTCTTTATCTGATTCTTTCAGATGTTGAATGCCACATATCTTCCCCCATTGCATCCTTTGATTTCCCATTCCTAATTTTATTTCGTGACCTTGAGCATCAAACTGGATGGAGTGATAGAGTGGCAGCTGACCAATGAATTTGGTGAGGATTGCTAATATGGAATTTAGATCGATGAGAAAGCAGATAATTCTGTATAGATTTGCCTTCCAGTCAGTTCTTAAGGGCATGAACAGAAATATTGAGTGTGTGTGTGTTTGTGTGTATATGTGTGGTGTCTTGTTCTAATTTTGAAGATTTATTCTGAAGGGCTCACAATGAATACTGGATATATGGATGATTTTCTTAGTGGTTGACTGAAAGAAAAAGAAATCTGAAGGAACATAGAGTAAAGATGACCTTTTCAGCTCCCTTTTGTGTTAGGCAATGTTTGATGGTCTTACAATAGCCCTGCTTTTATTCCCTGATTGTAAGAGTCTCTTCTTTTATCATCACATTATTTATTTGGCCTCCTTAACCCTCTCGGATAGAATAAACCACGCAAGTCACTGCTGTGTCATGGCCTTTGTATAATGTGGGAATGATAGGGAAGTGTTTCAGCCTTGGAGTCTATTTTCCTCTGACCTCAGGACTTGCTTTGTGCCTCAGTTTCTACACATCATTTGCGCTGTGGCGCAGATGGGTACACTAGCACCACTAGTATCTTAGTTGCATACCTAAGATAAAGAGTCACTTCTGAAAAATCTGGCCATGGAGTCAGTTGTCAGATTTCCAGGTGTGGGCATGGCCCTGTGAACAAAGAGGAAACAAAACAGTCTTGAAGCACTGCATAGTCTTGAGAGAATTACTGTAGCAATATTGTCTGTTGTTCAGAAATGCATCCAACAAAGTGGCTCTTGGCCAAAAACAAAACAAAACAAAAAACAACAAAGAAAGAAAAGAAAAGAAAAGAAAAAGAAATTAATTAATTTAAGATGCTACCAGGCCCTTGCATTTTGCTCATGGGCCACTTTGCTTACATTTATTACAGACAGAACAGTAAGTATTATGCAAAGGCTTAATATGTTCACTCTGGCTTTTGTGTTTCCAGGAATAATGTTTCATTCTGAAACAACAGCTTCAGAGAGATTAGTAAATCAGTATAGCTGCATCTCCTGCAGAGACCTCAAGGTGACACACATAGAGTTTTTCCACATCTCACAGCAATCCTAGTTTGAACTAAGAAATAAATGCTTTTGCCAAGGTCACCCAATGAGTTTCATGGCTGAAACACATCCATCACCCAGCCCGCAACATTGCACTGGCTATCAGATTTCTGGAAACATTTGCTTTTTTATTGATCTTGACTAGACATTTAATCCACCCTGCCTCTCCAATTTTTCCCATCCTTGTTTTTTTCCCCTCTTCTTAACTTTAAGTGATCTAAAATAAATGCTAATATTTCAACAGATACAGAATGACTGAGTCTAACATTGCACAATAGTATGCCCCTGAAGAGGCTCTGCCAAAGTTAATTATAACTAGTGCAAAAGCTGGGAGGTCTGACTGAGCCAAACAGGTAGGTAAAAATGCTTCATGTGTGGGAGGGAAACAATATAAGTTAACCCATACTTAGATTGCAGTTTTGAAGAATCATAGGTGATTCCTTATGAACAGAATAGGCATGCAGGTAGTGTTCACCATCCTGTAACTGTGTTTGTGGTGATACTCCCCCTGTTAAATGTTCTTACCAAGTCTTATGTGGATTTGCTGGTTCAACAGGCTTTTAAGAAGAGGTAAGGAAACCCATTCGACTTTTCCTAAATATGTAAGTGATTTGTTCCACCTTATTTAGCAGCAGTTCTTGAAGAAACAATATTCTTAAAGACATTTAAATTAGTGACAAAATGCATTCCTGTGTATAAACACACGTTTAAAAGAAAGAGACAAAATAAAGCCCAGCTGTTATTTCTGTAAACGTTACATCAAAGATTAGGAAGCATTTAAGAAATGACATGTGATTGGACAGCTAATCCGTTTTGAGACTATGGCCAGGGATCAGGCCTTCCATATATAAGACAATGAATAATGTCATGTAGGTATGATAGGTTAGCTAAATTTCAATAATGCAAAATGATGATAGATAAATTGCAGTGATGATAGATAAATTGTTTCGCTTGCAAGGGATCATGAGAGCTGTTCTCACAAACAATTTATGTCCCAATATTATTCTTATGTATCACATTTGTAGTTCATTAATACAATGTATGCATGCATACGTTATTTGTTTCAAATATGTCTAGCAGTGGCTCAGACTACAGTGGTGCCTCGCATTGCGACGTTAATTCGTTCCGCAAAAATTGCTGTTGAATGAAAACGTCGCTATGCGATATTAAAAAGCCCATAGAAACACATTAAAACCTGATTAATGCATTCCTAGGGGCTTAAAACTCACAGTTCAGCGAAGATCCTCCATAGCGCGGCCATTTTCGGTGCCTTTTAAGCAAGGAATCCGTCCCAGAAAACAGCAGGCGGCCATTTTGTTTACCCGGTGGCCATTTTGAAAACGCCGATCAGCTGTGCGAAAATGGTCACTTTGCGATGATCGGTTCCTGAAGCAGGAAACCAATCATCGCAAAGCGAAATTCTCCCATAGGGAACATCGCAAAGCGATCGCTTTTGCGATCACAAAAAGTTCATCGCAAAGCGATTTCGTTGCTAAACGGAGCGCTCGCTAAGCAAGGCACCACTGTACTTGGTTTAGGATGCTGCAGAGATATTATGGTACAGTTGCCCCATTTAAGTCTGTCAAACATTTATTATAAAAATAGATAAATTGTTGCTTGGGAGAGCTGGGCATGTTTGAAACAAAAATTGTATGTAGTTTACAATGCCACTTGCATACATTTTTCAGAATTTTATACGTCTAGTAGCCAAGACATTAATGAAAACATAATTCTCCAGTTGGTATATATTGTCTGGCTAGAATTCATGGAGTCTTTGTGAAACTTTTAAATGCACTTTTGACTTGTGTATAAAGAAAGACAACATTTCACCATCACTTACTGTGTCTTGAGTTCTCCATAGAATATAAACGTCAGAAGAAGTCATGAAGAACAAGGGATAAAAGGAGTCAGTAGTGAATCATCTAATTCCAGGTTGAAGAATACAAATAGAATAACTGGAAAATACCATCAAACTATTGACAGGATTTCCTTGAGTTTTTCTTGGAACTGAGGGTAGGTGAGGAATCACAACGTCACCAAAAATAGAGAGGCAAATGGCTGGGTCCTGGAGGTCTTGGATCATTGAATGGAAGAACACCACGGAAGACAAGCATAACTGAAGGATCAGAGAATTCAGTTTGTTCTAGAAGCTGTTTATTTTAAAATCTGAAATGAATGTCATTTTCATTATTAATTGAGAGTAATTTTATTATTAGATGAAAGCTACTTAGTGTATTCTTCGTCAAGCTGGCGTGCGCTAGAAGTATTTGACAATACTTCCATCACACCAGACACCATTGCCATATAGGTGCAGGTTGATGGGACTTGTACTCCAGCGCATCTAGAGAGCACCATGTTTTGAAAGGCCGTGGTACTATTTTCAGCAGGTGGTTTTACGTTTACAAATGCTTTGTGGATGTTAAATGGGAGGAGTTTTCTTCACTTTGTACAAAAGTGCAAATGACCTTAAATGTTTTCATGAGCATTCATTCTTGGAAGGTGGCTACAAGTAGTGCTAGCAGAATTAATTATATTACTGGTGTGACATATTTACAGCTGTTTAAAGCCAATGAATGGTGTTCTTTTTACTGGATTGTAGACCTATATAACATAATTTACATTTAGCAAATTTAACACAGGAGGCAATTAATTTCTGTCTTGAAGAATATTTAATAAAGGTTTCTTTAAAATTTACTTGACTAACTTTATTTGTAAAATAAGATTTTGTGAATATTTAATCCAAAATAAAAACAGAAGTCTGAACATTTCAGAATGAACAACTGAGATGTCGAGTACTACCTTCTTACTGTAGGAACATGCAGCATAATTGTTCCTGATGGTTTAAATGGGAGAATAAATGTCTTATTCTAAAGTGGTAATTCTGTCAAAGCAGTAAGGCACATAGCAAGTCACTTACATAGCACCCAGATTTAAACCTCATCCACTGCAACTAAAGATGCTTGCACAGCAGGCTCAGAAGAGACATCTCTTCCTGACACTTTGAAAACCACTGTCGGTCGGAGCAGATAATACCCAGTGTGGATGTACCAGTCAAATGATGTGGTATAAGGTGGCTTTTAATGCACTCACAGTAATTGTTATTAGTTATTTTTTGTTTCTCAGAGTATTTGCATAATGAAGCATCTAAAGTATGCATCTCAATTTATGCTAATGCATTTAAATGTAAATGGTGTTAGTGTGTCTGTTTCGGAAGGTCTCTATATATTTAAATCTTGTTAATTGAAGGAGTTCAGTTTTAAGGATAAGATAATTTGATTTGTTTACATTGCTGTAAAATCAGCACTTTGTAGGCTGTTAATGTTTCTGACTGTGCTTTTGCGGAATGTTTTGCTCATACTTGAAGAAGAGATGGACAGGGAAATCCTCCATGCATTAGTCTTTATACGTACAAGCCTTTGCACATTCTTCAGAGGTCATCATTGGGCAGTCAGTTAGCTATTTAAACTGTATTAAACTGTCTGTCTAGTGGGCTGTGGAGGGCCTGGTTGCAAATTGACATAACAACCTCCCCCATTCACTCATTATTTCAGAAAATAATACTTGAGAGAGCCAAGAATTCCCTGATGGCTCTGGGAATTCATCCAGATTTATTAAGTATATGTTCTAGTTCATGAGAACTGAGAGGCTTTATCTGAGAATCTGATGGTCATATCCAAGGGTGCAAGTACAAAATGGAACCTAGAGACAATAAGCCACCTTGCCTGTTGGTCTTATCAAATGTGACCCGCCTTCCTTCTTTACTTTCTTTTCCTACTTACCAGTCTAGTGAGAGATGGTAGTATATTTTGACATTATCAAAGACACACAGAATTTGTAGCTGCTAGAAAAATAAAAGATGTTTATACCAGCCATTGTACACCTTGAAAATTAGGCTAAATTTTAGGCTAAAATTGTGGACCTCTGCCATGCTAGTTTCCTACTACTCATGTTTCCCCCAGAAAATATAGCTAACTGGCACCTTGGGAAATCCAAAATACTTTCTTGAAATGATAGCTTTGTTTTATGAAATTTTCAAAAATTTCAGAATTTTAGACAATTAACTAAGATTAACAATGCAACTAAAAGCTCTGTTGCAAGCACATAGTTACTTTATTTGTTGCTTTACTAAATTAATTCAAAAAAGAAAGCCCCATGATCCTTCTTGTACACAATCCAAAAGCAAGGGTGGATGATACCTTTATTATACCACTAAAAACCACAAACATAAGCAGGCTTTCAGCCTCTTCATCAAGCTGAGCACCACAGATCCATGGGTGGTGCAGAAGAAATATTAAAATGCCAAAACTCATGGCCAGATGTATGTACAAGTCAGGTTTATTTGTTAAGAACAAGTTAGCCAGAATCTTGCTGCTGCCAGACAGACAAAGTTACATAATGTTATACAGACTCTTTACTCTAATGTTGCCTGCATCTTTCCTGACTTACATCTAAGGAAGACGTGCCTGGCGAAATCTATCTTGCCAAGAACCTTTGGACTTTACATCTAAGAGTAACTTTCCTGTCAAAATTCATTTTGCCATGAACTTGCCATGAACCTTTGGACTTCAAGTTCTTCACATTGGTACAAGCTTTGTGGTCTTGTTCCACAATACTGTACGTGTTGTATGATGTAGTGATTTTTGTGTGTGTGTGTGAGAGAGAGAGTGTTAATCCCAGGCAACCAAGATTGTGTGCATTTATTGTGGATTTGGTCACTTAGTTCCCATTGCAACCTGTAGTGTAGTGTGTTTCCAGAAGTGCTTCATGAACAGCGTTTCTGCCTTGATTTTGTTACAGTTGCCTCTTGTGTAATGTCAAGTTACCCAAGTGTAACTACTCGGTAGGAGTTCAACTCAGTAAGAATTCAACCAAACTGAAGGTTACAGACTCGGGTCAGAGATACAGGTTTCAGATTTCTCCTCTGTTGGTATGGATTGGAATGTCTCTCTCCGTCTTACTATTAAAAGGGTTACCAGTTATTTGCAATATGAGGTTGAAAGCTTTCTTATGTTTGTGTGTGTTTTTAAAGTACTATAATAAAAGTGACATCCATTTTTGCCTTTGGATTACATTCTTTCATAATTTAAAAAGATTTGGTTTTTAACTTCCTTGCTGGCTTGTAGTTTTATTCTAATTTGAATTCTGTTTTAACCACCATCTCTTTCTGTAGCTTTTCCAAAGTTAAATCAGGATTTCTAGTGAGAAGGCATTTTCCAGATGTAATGTTGACAGAACTGCTTGGAAGGCAAGTTACCCTATTGGAGGTATATAATTTCTGTGTTTGTGAATGATTTAATATTGTTGGAACAAAGTGTATAACTAGAACTATGAACTAAGGGTTGGGTTCAGTGTAGAGTGTGTTTGGTTTCTTACCGATCACCTGGATAGGGATGGTTAAATGCTAGAACAAAATGATACCAGGATTCCTCCACAATGTGCGAATCCACACATCTATTCTGCCTCACTTCATGGGGTGCCCGTCACATAACAAGTGGCAGCAGCCATTACAGAGGCCTTGAGTGCTGCTCAAAGATTTGGTTGGCATAGAATTGTAGTCACATTATGTTGCATTGAACATAATGCAGATGCCTAGTTTCAAGGGAACATGTCAAATGTCCTGTAAATTTCCTCTAAACATCCCTTCTGCTTCACACAGATCTTGGGTATCCATTCTATAACTCAGACTGAGGCAGACTTTCATCGTTGAATGTTGTTTACTGAGTTTGGAAATTGGGGCTAAATATGTGACCCAGCTGTGTCTGTGTAGTTTCTCATGGCATCTTTATACAGTTATGCAGAGTATTGGGCTAGTGTATTGATTTTCTTCTCTCTGCACTTGCGTGTAGCTTGCAGCCTTCTGTGCACCTGAAAATAATGGTGACTGTCATTTTACAGGTAAGCTTGAAAATAAAATGACAATATGCACTCAAAGTTTAGGAACTAGTGGACAGCTTGGAAGAAATGAAAAAACACTAATTTTATGTTTTTAAAACAATCCCCCCGCCGCCGCCCACGTTTTAATCCTGCGGAGGTACCTGAAGAAATAGTGAGTGAGCCTGCCAAAACTCTTTTGTAGGAAATAATGGGGAGACTTTTTTGGGACCTGGTTCCAAACCATG